TCTAAGGCAACAGCTCTAAAGACATGCCCTGTGTCCCCACTTCTCATGTGCTCGTTTACATGTTTGTCTATATCAAACACCCAAATAGGACATAGAGTGAACAAGATGCCGGGTTATGAGAGAAGTCCATCATCCTCTTCAGGCAGTTATCCTTAACATGTGAAGGGGGAAGTGTGTAAGGAGCTATGGCAGATGTGTCAGTCCTGCTCCAACATTCCTCCCTGCCCTCCTGTGTTTAGCATGAAGGTGTGATGGGATCTTCTAAGTGCTAAGAGTGTTTGGCTGAACAAAGCCTCTGTGTGATCAAGAAGCTTGCAATACCAGGGTTCCTGATCGTGAGGTTTGTAAAGTGGAGCAGCTACCTGCCCTCGCATCTTCAAGCTCAACACCTTAAGAGAGTTTAGGGCCTGACAGAAAAAAGGATCATATGTCACTTGAGGCAGCATGTTTGCACCAGAGATATTAAACAAAAACCACCTAGGCCGCAATTCCATTCTCAGTTTCCTGAGAGGGAGTCCCACTGAACTTGGTAGGTCTTTGTTTTGAATAGGCACGTAGTCGATTGTACTGTGAGGTTTGGACTCTACTGCACTTCTTCATAAAAGGTAAAGCAGTGTAAAAATAAAAGACAACCAAGTCACAGTCAGGAAAAACACACAATTAGGCTGCAACCATTCAGCCACTTGCAAAATTTACTTCTAAAAATAACTCCAGCAATCTCTCTGTAAAAGTTATCAGCAACAACATGCAACAGGCAACAAATATTTTATTTCTATTACTAAAAATACATTTAATTCAAAAGTACAATCCAATGTAACCCATGATGAAGTGGCCCATTCAGGAAAGTGATTATAAATATAGCATTTCTACTTTCTTCCATAACCATCCTCTCACACATTTAACAGGTCCACGTCTTAATATTATTACTGCACTTTGCATGTACAAGAGTTTCTCAATGAACATTACTTAAACACTTAGAAACTCTTTTAGGACTATATTGGCATTATCAGTGTCACTTGGTAGTTGCAGCAACTCAGTGTACATTATCATGCATAGTTTTTAAAGGGGTACAAATGTTTAAAAAGACACACCATTTCACAAGCATGCTAATCAAAAATCCAATCAATCCAATTTCTGCAAAACGTGAAGAGGGCTTTGGGCACAAGCTCCACTGAAACGAACATGAGCTGTGTAAAACTACGTTCATGCAACTCCCATTTCAACTGGCCTTTCTTGTTTGTTCAGTCTTTAACCAACTTCTCAACTGCATTTTTTTAAAATTAAAAAATACACTATTTCTGAAGTATACACTTTAGGTTAGAAAGTTATAGGACTTGACTGGTACATCTGAAAACAGAAGAGACCTGCAAGAGCTGATGAAAGGCCTATTTAGGCCAATTTTCTGTTACCCAGCAACTAGTCACCAGGGTCACCATGCCTATGGGAAGACCACAAGCCGGACATGAGTGCAACCGTCATTTCTTGTTGCCCCCTGGTGAGTGAAATTTGGAGGTAGGCAGATTTATCCTCTATTAATATTTTGCCTGTTTTTCAAGCAATACATGTCCAGGTCCAATGAAACTAGAGAAAGCTTGGATGGGCAGAATTATGTGCCAGTCGCAACATAAACAGAAGAAAAATAAGGACAATTCAGTTGCCCTTAAACATTCATATTAAGACAGGCAGAAGCCCTACACATACTTACCTGAGAATAAGCCACACTGAACAGTAGTCACCAATATTAGGCTGCACAGGACTTAACTTTATAATTACTTTGGGCATATGCCTGGCTCATTAATCTATGTAGGAGACTTCATGAATACTCTAAATTAAATGCTCCACTACAGGAGTGACTAACCTATGGTACGCCCAGCTCCTCTCAGCCATGGCCAGCATGACCAACAGTCAGGGATGATGATGATCAAGTGTCTTATCTGTTCTTTACCATAAAGTCTCAGGGCATGTGACTTCAATTTAAAAATACAATTTTAAAATATGTTAAAACAATTTACAAATCAAAATAGGGTAGGCCCTAAAACTATGTATCATGGGCATCAAAAGGCAAAAGTAAAGAGGTGGACTCATGGAAGTGTAGAGTTGAAAGGGACCCTGTGGATCACCCAGTCCAAGCCCCTGCAATACAGGAATATGCCATTGTCTCATAAAGGGGTCAAACATATGACCTTGGCATTCTGAGCACCACACTTTGACCCAACCCAATAGATATTGATGGCAGATGTCTTGTTGATCCTCTCCTCAGACAAGGTCCTATTTAGATGACATGTGCAAGAGGAGCAGTTTGCACATGAACATGAAAATGGCCTGCCATAAACCAACTGATGAAGAACAACATCCCAACTTTCAAGGGCTGCTTCAGTTATCTCATCAGGGCAAATTCTTATTAAAAAAATCTTTAAAACGCCTTTCAAAAGTGCATTATCTAGGCACTTCTGGAAAAGTCCCAGCCCTGCCTTTGCATGGTTGCTTGGGGATAAGGCTGCATATGATAGTGGCAACAATCACGGAGCCAAGAGGAGTAGTGGAAGCCCTTCTGAAGTATCCCATCGGTGAGCCAATTGAAGCCTTCCCCTTCAAGTAGTGTGACTCACAAGTCTCCACTTGTATTCTTCTCTACTGACTAGTCTTATTTAATGGCAGGTACAGTGCAACTGAAACTTTTGAATGAAAAAAAAAATCCCGAAAGCATAGTTCTTTTTATTTTGTGCAAAAGCTCAGAGATGTATGGTTACAATTGCATCCATAAAGACATGTATAAAGTTTATCATCCACTCCACAGCAGGTCACACAACAGGTCAATGGTGGTGCTAGGAATCTTGTGTCAATCAAGTAATAATTATTTCAGTTAAGCATGTCGTAATCCTCATTGCTGATAAGGACACTGTCAAGGGCTCCTTTGCAACAGCGAAAACGAGTTCAGTCTTTCTTCTGTAGTATATAAAAAGTAACTTAGAAGCTTGGAACTGAGAATGTTCTCTTACCAGTTCTTATTTTCCTTCATCACATGTACAGAGCTGCTGTTGTTGCTTGCGACCATTCAGATGCTGAAGAAAGACAAAAAGACAGTTAAATTTTGATCCCATTCCTTTGGCTGAGCTCCTTAAATGCCGTGACTCAAGAGGAAATTAAAACAATATGCATAAACATCTAGCAGCGGTCAAGCCAAAAGCTTATCCCGTTCACTAGCAACCAGATTGAGGGTGGGGAATCAAATTCTGAGCTGGAGATTGAAAAAAATTAACAGAGAAGTTTCATATTGCGAGTTTATAATGAAGCCTTATTAGAAGTCTAGTGCCACAAGGGTTTTATTTCTAAGTAGTAGAAGAGTCGAGGAGCATATGATGCACGGCAGAATCTAAAGGCAGTGTTCCTTTGATCTGAAAGGCTGAAACCTCTAAGTAGAAGATGTGGGCACAATCGCTGTGTGTAAACATGACTTCTATATGCAGTATCTATTATATATTATATCTATTAGGCAGCTCTAATTTAGAGATCCACTTAGTAATCAGGTGGGTTCAATTACCACCCATATGCTGGAAAGCATATGATCAAAGGCTTGGAATGCAAGTCATTGGCATTGCTCTGGTTACAGAGGAACAAGCCTGGGGAGTAAGTCATAACTCAGTAACAAGTTTTGCCTTGTTTTTGGCCAGGGCTTCTAATATAATAGGAGCCACCATTTCCATCGGTCCTCTGCTTTCCGAGACTATTCTGCAGCAGAATACACAAAAGGCAGAGAAAGCAAGGCAGAAGCATAGCTGGCGATGGATGCGGCTGCCTACAGGTTATTGGTGCAGCCAGAGGGACCCATCATTAGAGAGCTCTGCGCCTTTGCATTGCATGGAGTGGGCAATGTACACCAAGTGTGGCAAAGGACACATCAGCTTTGTTGACTATAGGATGTCCCGTGAGCTACTGCATCAGCTAAGGAGCTGGTGGCTTCAGATTGCGGCAAAGATTTAATTTGAAGATCCAGACAATGTCTACTAAATGTAAATAATTATTTGGCAAACAGAACAAGTTGCTCAAATGAATTGCATGCTCTAAATGTTACCACAGCTAGGCTGGATTCTAGTTGGCCTCAGATATATTTTTCAACTTTATAGCACTGTGATTATAGCATCCGGTGCCCATCACATCACTGGCATAAGTGAGCATATAATAAGATCCACAGATTCTGATGCCTTGTAACTTAAGAAGCGCATTGTATTTGACAATTCCAAATTAGCAAATGAACCTGATTTAAGTTCTCCTGTATAGATGAAATGGTATAAATATTTTCCGATCTATTAAAAAAAACCACAACTCAGTCCCTTGCAGAACTGATGTTATACACCTTATAATCCCTTCTAAGCTCTGTCATCTGTCAAAGAACATTCCCTGTGTCAAAACACACTGAATAGCTACAGCATCAGAAAATACAAGCTCCAGGGGAAGGGGGAAGAGACGGATAAATAATTTCAAACTGTACTTTTTTTGTGTGGGAACTACAAACGCATTTTCAGCTGCTATGGAAAATACCGGTATATGCTGTATATTGCCATTCTGCTTCATAGTGAGATTTTTTTTTTTTAAAGGACCTCTGTGTTACTCCTCTAAAACATGCACAACACACTAAGCTCAAATATCAGTCCACCTATTGCATGCCAAACAATTCTGGGTGCATATCATTTAGGAAACAATAAAATAAGCCCATGTGCCATTTTATAACAGATGCACAGCAAAGCAACCAACAGAGCTTAGCTCAAGTAAAACAGAAAAGTGAACAAGTTCTTTTATTAAACTAACATTGCAGGTTATTTTGGTTCCTTCTGAGACGGCCATTCTCACTTCAGCCAATAAACAGATACAAGAGCACTCTTTATTCATTAGACACTGTAAATTTGCTAGGTATTTTAATGGAAGACACATTTGATTCAAGTCGGTCCAAATCACGTATGCATTCTGGAGCACTCAACACTACTCAAAGCCTTCGAACAAGCTCATGTTTCACTGTATTTATTTTCAACATCTGTTCACATATGCATTTGTTTGGCTGGTACATGCTTTACATAGAACAATCTAAAATTTACATGACAGTATTGCTTGAGAGAGAAGTGGAACGGAAACCCAGTAGTGCCAAGTGTTCTCCGTAACAGTTTCTGAAAATAGCCCAGGACTGTCTCAGGAAGCATAGCAAAGCCCTGTTCTTAGAAACATAGAAGTGTCTGTGAAAATACCATAGTGTTTCAAACTGGCCCAACAAATACACCATTATTAAAATTATTTTAAAATTGGTACCTCCTGTATTCAAAAATTCAATTGCTCTTCTCATGCACTTGTAATCTTTAAGTTACATTTAGCAGAACGTGATTACAGTTAGAGGAATTATGTCTTTAAAAGCTAACAAGCAAATTGTAGTATAGTTTCTATTTACCCCTGAGTCTTAAAATAGGGGGTTGACTTTTAAATAGGCAAGTGGGGAAAAAAAGCTTGAAGAGACTTAGCTTTACCTAAAATTAGGTAGGGACACTTTAAAAACACCAGAACTGAGGAAAACTGTAAAATTAAGTTCTGCAGGATGCTGAACGATGATAACTAGGCTTCAGTCCCTATGCTCACCTACATAGGAATGAGAGCCATTAACACACTGGGATCTGTTTCCAAGTAAACATGCACAATATTGCTTTGCTAAGTTGTTACAGTATTTTATCAGACCTAGCTGAAGTAATTAGATTTCACAAGCAAAACTAAGCATAGAACTTACTACGTGGATTACCAAGACCTGATAAAATAGCTTCACTTAAAATTAGTTTATGAGAATTCTGTTAAGAGCCAGTTTAGAGAGCGGCATCAACATTCTGCGCAGTTTCCTTTTGCTGCTACTTAAGTTACTGGCCAGAAAGAGCAACATATTCACTTTTGTTTCCTGCAACCCTGCAACATCTGCAGCATCCAAAGTAAATGCGATTTCTGCTTATAAACGTGTGTGACGCAAATCATGTAACAATGTAAAAAAGAGAGCGATGCAATACATGTCACAGGTAGATTTGAAATTTGCCCCACATACCTGTCTCTGTATTTACAGACTTGGCTTCTTCAATACTGCCTTTGGATCAACACTGAGATTACAAGCGACTGCCCAGCCGCAAAAGCTAAATGCATTAATTAGAAACTTCCTTCTTGTTCTCACAAATGCGCAGAGGTGGCAAATGGGGTTCTCAACTGCACCACTTGAGAAACGCTAGCGGTGGGCTCACAGCATTGCATACTCCTCCATACCCCTAGCATAAAAAACCAGGCATTTTTGGGAAAAGGCTGCTCCACACTTACACACCCCACAGCGCCAATATGCCAGTTTTCTGTATGAGGGGACTGAATCAAGCAGCACTGATGTGTTTGTGCACATTCACCACCGGCTTGTTTGCTGTTTGTGAGAACTAAGACACAACAATATTTATTTTCTAGCCAGGCTCCAACCCTGTTTACTTAGGAGTAAGCCAGTGTACTTAGTAGAACTTAGAACTTACTTCCAAGTAAACATGCGTAGAATCTGTCTGTACGTGTAGTTATCACAGCAGCCTATCGCTCAAAGCTTTAAACACTTTACCCAAGAATAAGCCCCTTTCAGTCCAATTCATTTCAAAAAGAATGGGCTAAGCAAATGCATGAATTTCCCTCCCGCTGAAATCCACAGAACTTGTAAGATTATGGACAAGTACCTGAGAGTAAACCCTACCAGCCTATATATGTTTTTAATTGCAGGTGTTTTTAATAGTTGCATCACTTTGGAATACTTTGGGAAAAGCAATTCACAAATGAAATTAATACATGATTAAACAACCCACCCACTGGAACTTACTTCTGAGCAAATATACCCAGGATTAGACTGCAGGAGTGCATGGTTCAGCAGCAATTCCCACCAATTTCAATGACTGTCCTAAGGATCAGATTCAGAATTGTAGCGGCAACTTAATGAGCCCTCACCAACAGAGCTATGGCAGTTGAACAGCTGCCACATTCTAGGAACAGGATATGAAAATCAACATTGCTTATTGAAAGAGACGGTTGTTTGCATGCAGTTTAAAATAAAGAAGTGCAAATCAGTATAGCTTTGTACATTCCTAGTCTCTCTGAAAGGTAAATGACAGCAATGGGGGGAAAAAATGAATTCAAGCAAATATCTTAACATTTGAAAGCTCCACCATGTTTTGTAATGGGGAAATAATTTTTTCCCCACTGAAGAAACTGTGTCCATTCCATACTGTGCTTCATTTCCAGATCAGAGCATTAAAAACAGCAAACTTCAGCAAAACAAAAGTTCCTGTAAGAGCATTTATTGAATTATTTAAAAGTTCAAACTCAGTTCACATGCAGTTTATAGGGTCCCCCCTTTTTTTAAAAAAATCCTGTTTTCATGTAAATTGCAAACACTTGTACTGAGGTTTTCAGTTTCTCCCCGCCTGCCATGTAAATTTGTCAACTATTTGCATGCTCACTATTTTATGTGCTTCTTTATACAAAGAACTTTCCTTTCCCCTTTTTAAAAAGGCATGTTCTAAATGTGCACTACAAGGATTCTTCACCGTTCAGGATGCATAAAAGCAACATGGGTACTGATGGATCAAACATTTCTCCCAAAAGAAGTTGAGGCAGCCTTTGTTGAATCGTACTTTTTAATAAGCCCTCGTGGTTTAAGAACATCAGAGTGGGAGAAGGTGGAGGTGGGGGGAGTGAAAATGTCCTTTTCTTTTTTAGGTGCCAAGAGAGAGAGAGAGAGAGAGATGTTTCCAAGCAAAGGCTGGTAGCAAGTTGCAAAGCAAACAGGCAGGGAGGCGGTAGCAGCAGCAGCAGCATGTTTTCGTACATACAGCCTGATATCATGCACAATCGACTGTGGATAATAATAATGGCAACTTGTACAGGTAGGCATAATTCTCTGGATGGTGCATGTCAAGTCTGCGATGCCTCGAAGGGTGTATGCCGGGAGCAGAAAGCACACACATTTCAGGGGAGTAAAGCTAAAGTCTACATTCCATGCATAGCTATTGCGCCCCTTGGCCTTGCTTCCCTGCCACGCATCTTCAGACATCAGAATTGGAGCTGAGGTTGGTTAGCCGGGGATCTGCGTTGATCTCATACCTGTAGTGATAGCCCTCCATGTGGTCTCTACAGGCGTCCCTGATATTGTACATCCACTTTTTGATCCCTTTGCGGTTCAAGTACAAAACCAGGAGGAAAATGGCACCGATGAGGGCCAAGACTATCCCAAGGAAGACATAAGAGGTCTGCAGCTGAGTCTGGTTATCGGTCGGCTCTGGGCAGCTCAGCTCTGAAAAATCAATGGCCACCAAGGACCTGTTCTCCATCCCTTTGGGGTAAGAGCACTTGAGGGATGACTTGGCCTCCACCAGGTCACTCTCCTTGAGCCAGCTGACCATGTCCTCGATGCCGCAGTCGCAGACCCAGGCATTGTGGGTGAGGTTGAGGCTGGTGAGTTGAGGAAGGCCTCGGAGCTGCAGGAGGGTGCTGTTCCTCAGGCGCTTGAGGGCATTGCCGCTGAGGTTGACGCTCTGGAGCTGACGGAGGTTCTCGAGCGTCACGCCGTGCAGACTCACCAGGGAGTTGTTGTGCAGGTCCAGGTGCTGCAGGCTGTGTAGCGCAGCGAACATGCCCTGGGGCAGGTAGAGCAGGGTGTTTTCGGACAGGTCCAGGCGCTTCAAGTTGAGGAAGGCCTCTTGCTGAAGCAGCTGGGCCACGGCGGTCACATAGCTGTTGTTATAGAGGGAGTTGCGCAGGTTCAGCTCCTCTAGGGGGCTGCTGGTGTTGCCCAGGGCCATGGGGCTGAGCTCGAGGAGGGCGTTGTCGCTGAGGTCCAGCTGCTTCAAGCTGGGCAGCCCGGCAAAGGTCCCAGCCTCCACCCACTGCAGGCGATTACCGCTCAGGTTGAGGCTGCTGAGTTCTAGAAGGGTCTCCGGGGGGAACGAGGCAGACGAGACGTTCTGGATGTGGTTGCCCATGAGGAAGAGGTTCCGCACATAGCGGGGCAGGCCCACCGGCACCTCCGTCAGGTTCCTGTTGATGCACTTCACTGTCCTGGCTGCCTCGGAGCAGTCGCAAGTTCCCGGGCAATCAGCCGTCTGCTGAGCCAAAACCCAACCAGAGAGGACCACCACCAGCAGCAGCAGCAGCGGTTCAAGCCACCCGGCTCCTCTCTTCTCCCCAGTTGGTGTGGGGGGTGCAGAGCCCCAAAGAGAGCACCCCAGCATCACCGCCTCTGCCAGGGGCTGCTCTTTTGTGGCACTCACACAGCGATTTCGGCCGCTTCGTGCAAGGTGGGGAAAGCTGGAGAATGCAAGCCTGCCAAGAGGTCAATCCCGGCACAGTCAAGGCTCCTGGGAGAAGTGGGATCAAAGCAAACCCCTCCTCTTCAGCGCAACCGACTTAGATCGTGTGGCACCAGCACCAGGGTGTGAGCAGGAGCCCAGCCAACAATGCAGAGCAGTTCCTTCCTGTCTTGTTTTGTGGGGGAGCTCTCGGGGGGCCCCCCAAAGTCCTCCGTTTGCTCCTTCTCACATCCAGCCACCCCTGAAAGAAGCCACAAAGAGAAAGTATGAAAGTCACGGAAGCATCGCATGCCAAGCCACTTTCGCTTGCAGAGGCTCTGTTCTCCTTTCCCCAGCCCACCTCTACACAGTCCTTCTCGAAAGCTTTGCCCCTACTCATCCACGTCCAGCCACAAAACCAAGTAGAACTTGAGCATTACTGCAAAAGACAGTCTGGGCTTGTCTTTGGTTTTACTACATTGTGAAATAGGTTGGGAGGGGGACACCTCACGTCTGAAGAATTTTTAACAGCAGACCATGAATCTCGCCTTAGGTTCATTCTGTCTCCTCCTCCTCTATGGAGAGTCACCTTCCAGCCAAGAAGAACACATGCAAAAAGCAGCAACTGTCTGAATTCTAGAGGCTGCAAACAAGAGAGGATTGCCACCACTTTTTACATCCTTCTCGCGATCTTTCCAGGCATCTGACTGGACCCTGCTGGAAACACACCAACCCAACGGGACTTCGCTCTGGTCCAGTTTTTAAGCCACCTTGCCCCCCCCCAAAAAACTTCCCACCACTTTCCAAGGTCACATATTTCATCCACTCCGTGAGACCAAGTTTCTCTCCTGTGCCTTTTTAGAGACGTGACGCTTTAATCCGCGCAGCTTTTTGGAACTACGGAACTACCCCCCCTCTCCCCACCCCTTCAAAGCGCGCCTTCACCATCACGTTGTATAACTGGGGGATCTTGCAAGTTTTCTTAACTCCCGCCTCTGTTGGAAAAGCGGAAAGTCCCTGCTGCCCCTGGGCTCTTTTCTCAACTTCTCTCTCCCCTTCCATCAGATTCCCGCCAGGAAACCTCGAGATTCCGCAGAGATTCCACGCTCACAAAAGAACCCCCCCTCCTCCCGCGGCTCCTCCACCTCCTTTTCTCCCTACAAAGACTCACTTTGAGAGTCCATCAATCCCATCGAATTTAGTTGGGCTTCACTTTGGAATCTAAAGATGCGCAGAGTCCGGCCGCGCGTCGGGTACCGAGCAAAGCGCGCCGGCTCTGGGCGCAGGTACAGTACAGACAAGATCGCGCCTGACCTGGATCCAATCCGGACTCGTCTCTCTGTCTGCTCCTTTTCCTGCGCGGATGGGCGACGAGGAGCGAGGTCCTAGCAGCAGCAGCAGCAGCAGGATGGGCCCTTCTCGCACCGCTGGCCGCCCCTGCCCGCGCCTCCTTACCTGGCTGCCTCTCCTGGCGCGCGCGGCTCCCTCTCCAGCCAGTCCCGTGCAAACTCCGCCGCCGAGTGCGAACTACATGGCGCAGGCAGCAACTTTCCCTCCCACTCCCTGGCCGTGCCTCTGGCCCAGCCTCCGCTGCCAGGAGAAACCAATGGCAGGCGCGGCCGCGGGGGAAGCCGCGCGCCACGCCCTCGGCCGACGCCGGATCCTGCTCGCCGCCGCTGGGCGCGCGGAGGCTGCTGGAGCCGCTGCTGGGCTAGTGGCGAGCGGCGTCTCGGGAGCAGCGTTCCGCCCGGAAGCCTCAGTCCGTTTGGTGGAAACGCCTTCGCGGTTAGAGAAAGGCACTTGGCTTGCTTTTGTTCGCGCCACAGATCCCAGGATTGAGCCGTACCTGGCACTGAGCAAGGGCGCACGCGGTAGGGTGGAAGGGGATCTATCTGCATTACAATCCTAGATGTAGTTGCTGGTAGGTAGCCGTGTTGGTCTGCCTTAGTCGAAACAAAATAAAACAAAATTCCTTCCAGTAGCACCTTGGACACCAACTAAGTTTGTTTGGTATGAGCTTTTGTGTGCATGCACACTTCTTGCATGGACACGAAAGCTCATACCAATAACAAACTTAGTTGGTCTCTAAGGTGCTACTAGGGACTTGTGGCGCTGTGGGTTAAACCACAGAGCCTAGGACTTGCCGATCAGAAGGTCGGCGGTTCGAATCCCCATGACGGGGTGAGCTCCCGTTGCTCAGTCCCAGCTCCTGCCAACCTAGCAGTCGAAAGCACGTCAAAGTGCAAGTAGATAAATAGGTACCGCTCTGGCAGGAAGGTAAACGGCCTTCAATGTTTTGCACCTGTACATCCTTCTCTGTCCTCCATCAGAGCAGGCAAGAAGCATTATCAGAAGGATGCTTTCTAGGGAGGCGTAGACACTCAAGGAAGTTGCAAAGCAGGGCCATTGAATGGCGAGGCCTGAGGAGAAGGGAGGTGACCGAGAAGAATAGTCCTGAGGGCCAGATGGACTCAAATGCCAAAGAAACTAAATCTGTGTTGTTCTGCGTATAATATGAGTCTGTTTGCCGTGTGTTTTTACATACCTGTTGCAGTAATATATTATTTTCTATTAATTATATTTTTCATCTTTATTCGGTCTGCAGACTTTGTGGTTTGTGTGCAATCTGGGGGTGTTATACACTTCACCCTGTCACCATCTGTTCTGAAGTCTTCAGTCTCTCTGGATCCAGCACTCCCAGCCTCCTCACCAGGGAATCCCTACTGTTGCAATCCCTTGCATTTTAATGTTTCTCCAGTGGTAAAGGAGCACCTGAGCTTCAAAAGACAGCAAAGGATCCAGGAGTACCCCCAAGCTATGGACCTTCAGAGGGAGTGTAACCACATCAAGAGCAGGAAGTCTCCCATCCATCCATTCTAGGGAATCGCCCACTAACTGTGCCTCTGTCTTACCTGGATTGAGCTTCAGTTTGTTGGCTTTTTGTTTCAGGGGTTTGCAGCTAGTACCTCCCAACCCCCCAACCCCCTGCAGGCTGTTGCTTGGGTTGCCTGCCTCCCCCCCCCCCATTCCACCCCTGTCCTATAGGCTTCTTTGTCATCCCCAAATAGCCAAAGTGGAAATTTATATCTTAATTAGCTTGCTCAGGAGGTCTATTTCTGCTGCCTGCGAGCTTCTGAAAGATGATTTGGCCATTCATTCATAGTGATCCAGTTATGCCATTTCATAACAGGGTTACAAAACAATTTTATTGACCAGTCTTAAGGCTGTGCAATTGGCAGTTTACTGTTCAAGAAGCACGCTTGAGGAGTTAGCTGGTTGTATGCTGACTGGCAACCGACTGAGCTATCCCCCCACCCCACCCTGTTCTGGTGGCGACCTTTAATTTTGATCTGCCCATCTGTACTCACAGGCTGGATTCCCGGTTACACAGAAGCCTGTTAAGGCTGCTCTGGCAGGATCCTGGCCCACTGATAGTACATTTCCGTACTAAGGGCCTTTTGTGGCTGACACAGAACTGACGCCAGGGAACATCTGCACTGGCAGATTGGGGGCACAGCCTTTGCGGACTGCATTACTCTACTCTTTTCAGGTCCCATAGGAACAAATGAGAACTAAGTTGCAAAAGGCAGCACTCCAGAGAGGAATGACCAGATGCAGTTTAAAGCAGGGGAGGAAGCAGATCAGGATCAATTGGTAGATCTCTGGATGAGCTGTATTACGCCAGCCAGGATTTCCCACTCCCAATCGTAAGAGCAATGTGCCTTCCTCCACTTTCTAAATTAGGCTGGTAGAATAAGATGTACGCTTATAATGATATAGACAGGTCATCCTAGTGCAGCCATCGCTAACCTGGTGCCTTACAAATTTTGCACACTGCAACTCCCATAACCCCCTGCTGGCTGGGGCTGTTGGGAGTTGTAGTCCAGAGGATGTCAGCAAAGGTGGTACTGGGTGTAGAGTTTCAGGGGGCACTGCAGGAGGTGCTGCAGCTATTATGTAAAATTGAAGGTGAGAGGTGTGCGCACCAAATTTTGGTGTTGTACAGGGCGCCGCTGAAATTTGAGACCCCAAGGTCTGCCACTGATGCCAGATGGGTGGAATGCAGAAGGGAACTTGCTTTACCACCTTCGCCACCATTATGTATCAGGCTCCAACCCCCACACCTGCTTTTTTACACCTGCCTCCAGTTGGTGGACTTGGGGGCTCTAAAAATAGAAGCAAAGTGTCCCCCACAAGCCTGAAGACTCTCCACCTGTGCTTTAGAGCACAGGGCTCCAATAGTTGTGCAAAGGAAGGCATTTAGGCAGGTATGCTTTTTCTCCCCATGGTATACCAAGCAGGACTTGCTGAGATTTCCTCTTCTAGATTTCCATTGAGCAATAATTTTCTTTCTATCTGGTTCCAGGGTCCTCTCAGGCTGTCACTATTTGGGGGTGGGATTCAAGCACGAACTGGCAAATTCAGGTTGCACAGTTGAAGCTTATTTGGAGCTCTTGTGCAACAAAGCTACTTCTTCAAAAGACTGGCGTTTTAGAGATATGGAAAGTGACATGGAAGGGAAAATGCTGAATGAATGAATGAAAGTGTGAGGTAACACTTGCGTTTACACTGTCTCATCTAGCCTTTCTGCAAACAAATCAGAATGAATGCTCATTAAATACCCAGCATCATCTAATATCCCAAATCAGTGTTCAATAAGCAGCTTGTTTGGAAGGGCTCACAATATGTCAATGAAGTTTGTTTCTTTTACAGAAATAGGGTGGAAGAGGGTCAACTATAAAGGAAACACAAATGTACTTTGAAAGTAGCACAGGGGTATGATTCTGTGTCAAAACTGTTTCAGAAATCCGCTGCAGTTTGGAACACTGCGGCTCTTAAGAAAAAGGACTGTGTTATTTCATTTAAAATGCAATGAACAATTTCTATAAGAGTATTTTTTTTAAAAAAAGAATAATTCTGTTGTATTCTTATAATTTGTAGACTTAGGCTGCAGCACTTTATTGTTTTCCTGATCTCTCTTTACCTGAGCATTTCTGTGTTTTATGTAAACTCTCACACAGTGTAAAAGCCACTTCTGGAAATCTAGTGGAATCTAGTTGAAAGGCTAGCATTCATTTCTGCTTTAATTATTTCCAGGGGGGAAAATCCGTTTGCAACCCCATTAACTTGGAAAATTGTAGAAATTTTGCATTGTAATTCCATGTGCTGAAACTTGGGAAACTATTCTGGCATACAGTTATTTCCCACCATTTAAAATTTAGCATGACATGTTGGTATAGGGATCAAAAAGCCCACTGTGGGAAGTGGATTTTGGAATTTGGATTGAGCCCTCAAAGTCCCAAGCCAGACAATGCAAAACCCCTGAAAAATAAGCTCTGGGTGCCAGTGCTATCTGTTAGTACTAAAAGGTACTAAAAGGTTGTTTTCTCCTGCTCCAGAGAAGCGGACACAGAGCAATGGATCCAAACTACAAGAAAGAAGATTCCACCTAAACATTAGGAAGAACTTCCTGACAGTAAGAGCTGTTTGACAGTGGAATTTGCTGCCAAGGAGTGTGGTGGAGTCTCCGTCTTTGGAGGTCTTTAAGCAGAGGCTTGACAACCATATGTCAGGAGTGCTCTGATGGTGTTTCCTGCTTGGCAGGGGGTTGGACTCGATGGCCCTTGTGGTCTCTTCCAACGCTATGATTCTATGATTCTAAAACCCAACCTAGCGCTGCTACTGCTGCATTAGCAAGGAAAGAGGAGCAGAACAGCCATTTGTGTGCTACCCGCACCAATAGCACACAAACTTCACTAGTCAGCTGTCCAAAGGAGGAAACTGCAGAAAGACAATTCATAGCATCCAACAAAGACTCTTTCCATCAAGAAGCCAGAGAGCATGATGTGTATATTTTTCCTTCAATTTTTAAAAACTTGAATATATTTACTCGTCCTCTGCAGATCGGCGGCCTTAGATATCTGTCTTCCTGGTCCACTAATGAGAGAATAGTAAATGATTCAGTAGGTATCTGAACTAGCTTAACAAATGTCAATATATGCTATAAAAATAGAAAACTATTTCCCAAGTATTTAATGGGGCTTGCAGTATTTACTATGAATAACTCAATTCTGCTGTACATAAATAGAATATCTACTGATTTAACTGCATTCTACGGTTTGAATTCTGTAGAATACCAGCGACAGCTCATCTGACTATAATCTACTTTATAGTGAGTCATTATTTACTCTGTGACATGATAGGGTACAAAAATAAATTTCAGATGTATATGAAAAGGTGCCTTTTAAATGTAATTTAATTATCCTCAAACTGTTGCATTCAACTAAATGATACTGTATAAAACAGTTATAACTGGGTCATAGCTAATAGACCTGAATCTCTTGCCTTGTTAAAGTTAAACATTAAACAGAAACCAGCAATAATTGACACACTCATTTCCCATATAGTTTTATTTGAAAGAAATGAAGAACACACATTTCAGCCAAAGCTGAGCACTTTAAGTCCCATCGTGTAGCTGTCTTACTTCAGATCCTTATAGTTTACAGCGAGGGCTTCTGATATTCCCTAGATCAGTGTTTCCCAACCTTTTTTGGGCAAAGGCACACTTGTTTCATGAAAAAAATCTCGAGGCACACCACCATTACAGCCCCGTGACGTCAGCGCGCAGCGTCACGCCGGGAGGGACGCACGAAAGTGTAAGTTTCAATTTTTCCCCCTCCCCCTTGCCTTCCTTCTGTGCCAACCGCCAAAAAGCCAAGAAAAAAGCCAAGACTTTAGGGCAGCAGGTCGACACGGAAGAAGCTCCTACCTAAGGACAGGTGCGACGGCCGTGTCCTCTTCTGCCACACTTGGCAGCCCTGCCTCACGGTCGTGACTCCCACCCTGATTTCTCCCCGCAGGTCGAGCGGCACAGGCAGCCCAATGTGTCCAGCCCAGACACAAGCCCCGCTTCCCCACTCTAGATCCTGAATGCGACTAAGTGCTCTGGACTCCCGAGCAGGGTGGGAAAGAGGATTCGCATCTGGTAGCCTCCGGGCTCCTCGCCTGCTCGAGGGATGGCATTGCAGGCAAGCTGCCGGCCGTCGCCATCGCCGCCCCCTCATGCGAGTGGACCTGCCCGGAGTGGTGGGCCGGGGGAGGCTCGCTCTCTGTGGGGATGTGGCCTGCACGCGCGGCCCCGCTTCCTCCTGCCCAGGGCTGAGCTCCTTACCCGCGATCTCGGTCTCGCGCACGCGGATCCCACTTATTCTGAAGCTCGCGCCACTAGCCGGGGCTCTCACACCGTGCCAGGGCGCGGCGGCGCGGCCCACTGACGTCATCGCGGCTCGCCGCCGCCCTCGACTTCCCTGTTCCCTCCCCTCCCTCGGGTCGCCGTGGTTACCGAGGACTGCAAGCTGCTCGGGCGAGCGTGGGGCATTAAGTGGGAGAAGGAAAATTAAAATTAAAACTCGCCTGAAGGCTGCCTCTCCGGATATCTTTCGAATTTTTTAATTTTTCCCGCGGCACACCAGGCAACGTCTCGCGGCACACTAGTGTGCCGCGGAACACCGGTTGGGAAACACTGCCCTAGATAGATATCTACAAAAAGCCTTGAGGGAATTTTGTTAGTTCCATAAAACCATTTTGGTTTCCCTAAAACCTCCTTCAAATGTTTTGTGTGTGGCAGAACAACCTATTTTGCTTTTTGTTATGTACTGAGTTGAATAGGATCCAAACTGCAGCAGTCTGGTTGGTCCTAGAACAATAGGATCCAAATTGCAGCAGTCTGATTGGTCCTAGAACAATAGGATTCAGACTGCAGCAGTCTGATTGGTCCTAGAACAATGCAGCAGTATGATTGGTTGGCAGGAACCACCCAATCATGCTCCAGATATAAGTGAATCCACAACCTGATTGGTTTACAGTAGAATTCCAGAATTAGCCAATCATGTGCAGCCCATTGTGTAAATAATGTATATAAAGCAGATACTTTGAGGGGACTTTCATTCATTCCTCCTCACCACTATGAGCTGAATAAAGAGCATGAAATCACTTTGCGACTCTGAGTATATTTCACTTTTTTTAAAAAGAAAAAGGTGGTGTTTTGGCTGGATGGGTGGGGAGTTTGGTGACATTGTACAAGGGCCTCATTCCTATCTGGGTGTCCTTTTGGTAGGTGGGGAGATATGCCAGTGAGGGGCAGAGCAACAAATGTCAGTTTTTCTTCTTTATCGTTTGCTTCTTTCTACACCCACCCACACAGCTTTCTGCCCTCCATCCAAGCAAACAACAGGCATTACCAGAGCTCAGGGACACGTCACATCCAAAAACCTTCAAGGAGGGTGGGAAGCAGGGCTGGTAAGGGATGTGGCTGGGGAGGAGATCTGGCCTGAGGAGAGGCTAGATTGAGAAGCCAGAGAGATAGGGTGGGCACTTTTGGTCCCTTGGCTTGAGGTTCCCCACTCCTGCTATTGCAAAAATGAATCAAATAAACAGCAAATAATCTGCACTTTGTAACTGTAATAAGGTAATCATAATAAGAGAGACTTGGGCCCCACATTTAAAACAGTATCATACGACTTCAAGCAGTCATGCCTTTCCCCCCCAAAGAATCCTGGGAGCTGTAGTTTGTTAAGTGTGCTCAGAATTGTCAGGAAACCCCTATTCTGCTCCCAGTACTACAATTCTTCGAGTTCCCTTGGATTGATTGTTGAATCACTCTGGGAATGATAGCTCTGAAAGGAGCTCTGGGAATAGGAGTCTCCAAATCATTCTCAGTGCCCTTAAACAAACTAGATTCCTCAGCATTCTTTGAGGGAAGCCCAAACCGTTTAAAGTGGTGTGATTCGGCTTTCCTTGTCTAGTGCAGATGGGCTCTCAGAATGCTAGAGGGTTCTAGTCAGCATGTCTGTTAAGGCACTTGTTTTATTCTGCTATGTTTAGGAACGCAGGGAGTTAAACTGGACTATTTGTCAGGACTGTTTGTCTGCTCTGACTGACCAAGGTCTTTCATATCTTTTCCCATCCTATCCTGTGAAACAAAACTGCCAGGGATTAGAACCAGGGATTTCCTATGTGCAAAAGCATGTGCTCTGCCCCTGAGCTACTACTACAGTTCCTGCCCCCGTTTTTGAAGTCCCAAACGTCTTTTTTCAAATCCTGTGTTGTTCTTTCAAGTTCCATATAGGGACAAAGTGCTTCATCAACTGTTTGAAAGGCTACAGTGCCAGCCAGCTCCACCAGTGCCTCAAAACATCTTGTCTCCGAGCTCCTTGAAGATAGCCTTTTGTGTTCATTTCGGAACATTAAACTACCAGATTTATTTTTATCTCACTTTGGGGCCTGTCTATTTCTAACATAAAGCCTGCAATTAAGATTTATTTGTGAGGTCTCTCTCATTTTTCCTTATTTCTTTCTCTCTTATAAGGCATGAGTGCAGGGAACAAGCAGGTCTATGCTTTTTAATTTATTTTAAATGAGTGAACTTTTAAACCTCTGTATGCTGTCTTTTACTGAGTATAACAGAAATGGAAGTTTTCTTATAGTGTAACTACTCAGATTGACATTTTGTGACCTCCAAAAGTGATGTACTTCATCAGAGGGTCAGCAATAAGGACTGTGGCTGCTGGCACACTCTCCATAAGCTGAATCACAGGCAGAATATGCTCCATAACTTCCTTTACTGCAATGTGGACGGTAAGAGAGTTTTTGGTAGGGCAGTTTTTTTTACCCACCTCAACTTTTCTCTATGATTTCCTTATATGCAGGGACATTCCTTAAAGGACTCAGGGCCACAGGCCTGCAATGCAAATTTACACCTGCTAATTTAAATGCATACAGGCCACTTTGCAGAGGTAGAATAAATGAACTCTGACTCTTATATATTATTTGTAATATAATGTATGTAATTTCAGTATGTTCATATGTTTCAAACCTTTGTATCTTTTACCCTATATTTTGAGAAGGTTTATGTTCATCCATTTTAAATGTTTGATTTTAGCAGTATTGTGTACATTTTGTATTGTTTTATGGATTAAGTGCTATATAAATCTGGTTAAAATAAATAAGTAAACAAAATTTGTAATGTTCTTAGGCTGCTTTTCTAGGCAAATGCCCATTCACATTGGTTTGCTATCAAAAACAAAAGATAGATAAAAAGAACAATACAAGAATAAAAGTACAGTCGTACCTTGGTTCTCAAACGGAGTCCGTTCCGGAAGTCTGCTCGACTTCCAAAATGTTCAGAAACCAAGGAAGCCGCAGAAGCCGCGTCGGACGTTCAGCTTCCAAAAATAGTTCGCAAACCGGAACACTCATTTCCAGGTTTGCGGTGTTCGGGAGCCAAAACGTTCGAGAACTAAGCTGTTCGAAAACCAAGGTACGACTGTACAATAATGCAAATAATACAGATCTTTTAGAACTTGGAACTACAAGTTGGCAATACTACACATTATTATTATTATTATTATTATTATTATTATTATTATTTAAACAATTTGGAG